CAATAAAACACATGCACCTGAACCTGTCTCAAGCTCTGTTTCTATAGAGCTCTAAGTCACTTACTGTACTTTAAAATTATCTCTAAATCTTTTATTACAGTATTTGCAAAATTGGGTCATATCCTGAGGAATGAGCATAATAATTATGTTAAATCTAAGTTTACATTTTCTGCCTAGTAAATGTGACCTTATAAGAATCCAAAATTACATTGATTGACGTTTCCATTTAATGTGTCTTCTCTGAAATGCACTTTACTATTAAAAATGAGAACTTGAGAGGGTATCCTATGAGAAAATCTAAAGAGAAAAGAAGAAAACAACCTGGCTTTTGAGCAATTAGATGAATAAGCAAAAGTAATGTTACATGTTATGCAAGTAAGGGTCAGATGTAGGATTATAAACCTAGTGAAAAATTCTAGCTCCCAACCCCTTTTGTTTTTGTGGCTCACTCTTCTGATAGTAATGTACCTATTTTTGGACTAAAGAGCCATGAGGCTGCTACCAACTTGATATCTTTGCTTTACTAGAGGAGCCATAAAGACAAGGAAGGAACTATTTACAAGCCATTCTTAAAACCTACGGAATAATATGATTGTGTTTTAGAGCATTTCTAACTCCTCATTAAGAAAAGAAAATTCTAGAGAATCAACATGTATGTGTAAAGTGATACACAGAGAAAACGTGGGAGAAACAACTTGTGTTTCACCATACTTTAAATCTATTCAGTGAACAGGAAGCCACTGGAAAATCAGACTCTTCTTGATGCATGTAGAGATATATGAGAAGTTAACTATTCACTTAATATTCAAATCTTTTTCTTGTCCTTAACTCACTGAAAAGCAATGGGAAAATTAAGAACTTCAGGTCCCAGACAGTCACCAATTTATCTTGGAATGAATATTACCTGAATTGTTACCATTGTTTGCCTTCCCATAAGGAATTCCATAAGGGCCAAGGATATAACCATCTTCAGTTACAGTATCATATGCTTCATCTGGGTAGCCCAGTAGGAAATAATTTGGCTCTAGATAAAGAAAAAGCAAAGCTTTTAGAATAAGATTGTTAGTCAATTAATATAACCTAATTAATCTAACCTATCAATGTAACAATGCACTTTTGTATTCTCTATCAACCTGCGTTCTATTTTTATTTTCATAAATTCACTGATACATTCAATAATAAATAGTTTTATAGAACACCTACTAAGCATCAGTTTCATACACTAGGGATTCATGAATAAAAGTAAAACCCCCACCTTCAAGGAGATATCTCAAGAACTAACCCATTAATGTTTTTGTAACTATTAATCACTCATACTTTTACCTACTCACCCATAAACAAATTAAAATATTTACCCATAAATGACTGCATGTCTATGTATATAGCTAAGCTTGTATGTGAAATTTGTATATATGTGCATATATAAAACAGATAATTTATAAGTCCTCCAAGAAGATATGGATATATTTCCATATATTTTCATCACAGAAACAGAATAAGGTTGAAGGAGAAACTGAGCTACAGAATAGTAGGTGTGGAATATTTAGCTGACCCATATCAAAATATAATGCAGAGATACAAATTTGTAGATCTGTTAAAATAAAAACCCCAAATTCAAAAGTAGCATTCCCTATCATTTCAGCAACTTATTCCCTACCAAGTTACAATATTCATATTTGCTTCAGGGTTCACAGATCTTTGATATTGAAAGGCACCATGAGTAGTCCTAAGAATTAGGATGACGGACATCACTTTGAAAAGGTACCACATTTGGGATCTATATTTAAAAGGAGATGTTAATACTATTAAAATTATACCAAGTAATACCATTTGACTATTTAAATAGTTCTGTGAGGTGGTGAATATTACCATTTTCAGATAAGAAACTGAAGCTCTGAATAATTGACTAAATTGTCTAAGAACACATACACAATATGTATAATTGGCAGTCAGGATTCAGAATCAGGCCTGCTTTACTCCAAAATCCATGCTTTCCAACTACCTACTTTGTAGCATAAATTCCTTTTGAAGTCTCCATTATAGTATTGTTTAGCCTGATTCTGAGAGATTTATCATATACTGCAAGTTAACTGATACCTGAATTAATAGTATAACAATATTCTTACAAGATTAACATTTATTTCAAGTATGTTTAAAGGTTATTGGGTTCGGGGGAGGGAAGAGAGGCAGGTGCATAGATTAAGAAGCTTGGATAACTTAATTGTCATTCAGTCTTGTGGAGTCTTGTGGAGTTTTGAGTATACTAAATTCTGGGAAGCCATGACACTTAAGTTCTTTCTAAAAGTAGAAACCAGGGAACCACAGAGATCATCACTGAATTCTCTCCCCAAAAGCTTATAGATCTTAAAAGTCTTGTTTGATAAACCAGTCACTATACCTGGAAGGATATAATGCAGAGTTTATAAAACCCCTACTCCACCACTCACAAGCTGAGTGACTTAGAGCAAGTTACTTAAAATCTCTGAGCATCAGTTTCACTACTTATAAAAATGTGAATAATACCTACTTGCCACAGTTGCTATAGAAGTTAAATTTGATAAATATGGTATGATGCTTTTTTAGTATACCAGTTACACAGCTAACATTTAATCTGTATTAGACTTCCTCACTTAACAAAACAAACTACTTATTAGCAATTTAGGAAAATAATTTATATGCAAATATTTGATATGTCTTTCTCACATATTAGGCTAGTCTCCAGTGCAACATTTTAATAGCTTGCCACAAATTATGTGGGTCTGAAAGTTTCAAATGGCATTCTTAAAAAATATTTTCCAATTTAAAGCTTTAGTTTCTGGAAACTGGACTTCTCCCCTTTTGGTCTAGGTTTGTATTGTAATTGGTACAATTTTTTTGTGCTTTTCACTGAAAGTGAAAAGCAAATTTCAAAATGGCATTTCCAAGTTTTTCTGCCAAAGACAGAGAACACTGCTAATTTAAGCGCAAAAGAAAAAAAATTGACATTTGTACCCACAACCTAGATATTCCTCCTTGGCTATGTTTTTGGAACAGTACTAGTCAGGCAGCAAGGTTACTTACTTATCTTGGATAGTTTCATGCAAACAGGATGGAAAGGGCTATTTCCTCTTGTCTGTATTAACTGGATTTGCATCTTACTATAGATACACTGCTTGTTTCCTAGCAGAGATTTTAAAGTACTTTGCATTATATTTAGAACAAGCACATGGCTTATTACCCAAAATGAGACACTTTTGAAAATGAAATGTTAAGAATTAACTTGGAAAACGTGCATAAATTGGACTGTCCTAGGCAAGTAGAACTCATGGCCACACAACTTATATCCTTATTTCCCCAAATTTTGATATTTTTATCCTAAGAAAATACAGAAGGATGAACCTTTGGCATACAGGTGTTGATAAGTCCTAATAACCACCAATGGAATATGTTTAAACTAAATTAAATAATTCATTTTATTTGCTGTTTACAGTAACTTACCAAGTGCACATAAGCAACTAAAGAAAAAGATCATTAAAATCTATATCTGTGATGTTCAATATGTGGCCACTGAGCATTTGAAATACGGCCAGTTGAGGAACTGAAATTTTAATTTTATTTAAATTGTTTTAATTTATTAACTAAAACAGCATAGAATGTTTTTCTATTAAACAAAACTTCCTTGTTTTAACAAGATTATATTTCACTTGAATTGCTGCATTACAAAAGATATTGTGCTATCGTAATGTGCATATTGGGCATGTGTATTTTGTAATATTACATCTAAATACACCACCAATCTAGTCAGTGTCACTGGATTTCATTGTTTGGATAATATACTGTATTCACTGATATAACCTGTAATGTGTTTAGCATTTTATGCAGACAACAAGAGTTACAGTGACAGTCATATAAATCATAGTTGGTATTTCAATTGAAATATTTATTTTAGTTATTTTTCTAACTTATAAATTAAGTGTGGACAATTTCTTAAATTAAACGACATCACATTACTGATGCAAAATGGAGTGGAGAGGCAGAAGCTAGTATTACAACCAGGTCAGTAAATGAAAAAATAAGACTGGAAAAAGCCATGTCCCTATTTTCATACTGAATAGCAATTGCAACTTGCCATGCAGACCAAAATGAAAAGCCTTTTATTCTTGTAATAAAAAAAATTAAAGACAACACAGTAAACAATGTTGAGACATTTTCAACAAATTACACAGTGAATGTTTAAAGGAGTTTCTAACAAAAGTCAGAAAGTATCAACAAAAATATTTAAAACAAGAATTTAATGTTCAACAAACATTTCTGGAGCATTTTCAACAAAATCTATACCTATAAATTTAGACCACTATAAGATGTCTTGCACACACACAAAAAAATCTTCAGAAGGTGAATGCTGAACAAAAATTATTACACTTATGGAAATTTTGTTATAGAATTATAAGGAAAAGCCTAAAAATGAAATTTTACAAATTGAAGATCTTCAATTAAGCCACCAATTGCTTATATAATACAAACATTTTCTAAGAATATATAAATCAATTGATTTAAAATTTGAAAGATTCTAAATACTTTTCTTTAGTTTTAGATGATGTGCATATATAAGACTGCAATTAATAATTGGTATATTTTGGATAAGATGGCTTTATAAAGAAATGTCAATCTGTAGCTTGTAAAAAAAAATCTAAAAAAAATCAAACTCACAGTGGAAATATTTTTTAAATATTTTACATTTTATAAGGAATTTCAGCTAGATATGAAGAAGTTATTTTCTATCATAATGGACAGTGTTCCAGCTATCTAATTTCAGGAATCTAGATTTATTGGAATTTCTTCCATACTTTTAATTTTGAAAAATGTATTGGTAATTCTATCACATTTGTTCTTGTACAAGTTTTAATTGTGTACAATGTTCATCATTTTTAAGTGTAGAGTTTGGCAGTGTTAAGTATATTTACATTGTTGTGAAACCAATGTCCAGAAATTTTTCATGACCATTAAACAACTCCCCATTCTGTTCCTATAAACTTGATTACTCCACTTACCTTACAGAAGTGGAATCATACAGTATTTGCCTTTTTGTGACTGGCTTTTTTCACTAAACTTAAATGTCTTCAAGGTTCATTATGTTGTAGCATACATCAGAACTTCCTTACTTTTAAAGGCTGAATAATATTCCACTGTGTGTACATACCATCTTTTGTTTCTCCATTCATCTGTTAATGGACAGTGGGTTGACTTCACCTTTTCACCATTGTGAATAATGTTGCTATGAACATAGGTGTACAAATATCTGTTTGAGTCTCTGCTTTCACTTCTTTTATATATATATCCAGAAGTGGACATATAATCAGGCAAATAAAAGCCCAAGAGAATTCATTAAAGGCTGATATGCTCAACTTAAAACACTAATATTTCTTTAAACTGAAGGCAAATTACACAAAATAGAAATTCAGATCTACAAAAAGGAATAAAGAACACTGGAAATGGTAGATATGTAGGTAAATATTCCAACTGTTTTTCTCCCTTAATATTTTTCATGTACTCAAACATAGCTTTCATGTTCCCCCAATGTTTTCACTAGGCTAGAAATTTCCATCCTCTTTACCTGCTCACACATTTCAAGTCTGCTTATCATCCTGGTCTCTTTTCTTTGGAATGGCACCAGTTTCTGAATGACCCTCTCAAAATCTTCTATCCAGCACTGAACATAATATTTTAGATGTGGTCCGGCCAGTCCAAACAGTGTGGGGCTATCACCTCTGTTGTTCTGCACACTACAATTCATTTATCATAGCTCAGGTTCTTTGCTCTAGTATAGTTAACTCGTAATAAGCTTAGGGTTAACTAAAATTCTAAACTCTCTTTTCCTGATTCTGTAAAATTATTTTCTAAATACAAGGGTAAAACTTTGAATACCTTTGTTCACTTTTCTTCTGGTTAAATTTGTCTCAGTGACTGCCTATTGAAATCTTTAAAATACTGATTTTAAAATAGCCTCATAGGGCTATTCATCTTCATTTTAGGCCCTCCAAAACCTGTTAGACATGCCATCGATGATTATCCAAGTTGTTAATAACACAGTTAAGTAAGGACAGAGCTGTGAATCACACAAGTAGATATTCTTTGCTGATTGGCATGGTATTTCATATTGTTACAGTCACATTATACATAAAAGATATTTAACACTGAAATCACCCAACTGACATATCACCATTCAGCCTATCTTACTTTAAGCATTGTCCTCGAAAGGCTGTAAACCTTCTAAGCAAACAGTTAGTGAACTCAGTCTCTGATTCTGGTTGCCAGGGATACTTTACTGAATGTGACAATGTTTCTGCCCTCTTGGTGTTTAAATTCTAGTAGGAGAAAGACAATACCAAATAAATGAATAAACAGGCAAAAAAGCAAGATAACTTCTAAAAGTGATAAAGTGATACAAAGAAAATAAAACATTAGTGGAAAAGAGAGTCAGTGGGTAGCCATTCTTTAGGTCAAATGTTAAAGGCCTTGTTTCAGGTGACTTTTAAGCTGGACTTGAATGGTCAGAAGGAGACAGCCTTGCAAAGATCAGGAACACGAAAGGAGAGAAAAGGTCACAGTGACTAGGAAGGGTTAAATATCAGTAAATCTGTCCCAGCTATTTTCAATCCTACTCTTTGTACGTCCAGCTAGTCATTCCCAAATCTCCCCCAAAAGATACACTAGTACCAGTAAGCAACTGTAGATCCACAACCCTATGGTTATAGCTCTGGACTAATATAATCCTTGCTGGAAGTTGGGGTGGCTATCCCAATCCTAAACACTAAGATAATGAGAAGTCATAAGCCACCATGGCTACCTCTCTTCAGTGGTTCATAAGAATCCAAAATTCTGGATAACTCTTTGTTGGTCATAGAGGAGAAGAAAAAGATAGTGAAAAATTAATGCAATTTACAACTCCTGGAAACACAAGTCAAAATGTATGCTCTATATTTAAGAACAGCATAAGCAAAGGGAAGTGGAAAATCTGATGATGTATTTGGGGAACATATAATAAATCAACTTGGCCATAGCACAGGACATATAAAGGTTACCAAGATAAGATACACATGGGTTGGGGAAATCCTATCACTGAATTCTTTTAATGCCAAGCAGCTGAACTTCATACTGTATGAAATTGAGAACTACTGAAAGTTTTTTGAGGATGGTAGTGACCCATCTAGATGCTTGGTGCAGAATACAGACCAGGAGTAGGGGGACCAGTTAGAAAGCTATTGTAAAATTCAGGTGAGAACTAGTTACTGCTTGAACTTAAGTAAAAATTAATTTGTTGGTGAGTACTTTCCAAAATGCTAAATGTTCACCATTGACAAGAATGTACTAAAACTAGCACTTTAGTACATTGCTGGTGGAAGTAGTATTTGGACTTCTCTAGTGTACAATTGCATGGGATTGGATTTAAGAGATGGAAGAGGCCAAAAACACCAGAGGACTGATAGATATTAGGGATGAGAAAAAAGAAGCTATTGAAGATGACAATGATGTTTAGGCCTGATTGTGCAAGATGGTAAGACTGTTAACAAGAAGTGAGGAAGCAGGAGGAGATAATGGAAAAGGGGGTACAAACTCAAAAGACCATGAGTACCTGTCCTGGTCTTATCATTGAGATACTGTGTAACCTTGGGCAAATTCAATTAAACTTGGCATCTATATTTACGTATGTAAAATGGTGGTGGTAGGGGTGGTTGAAATAGATTACCTCAAATACCCTTCCCAGCTAGACATTGGAGATTCTAGAATATGGCTGTGAATCACATTATTTGTTTTTAATTTCACAGAAATCTCTGACACTATGAACAACTTTAAGACAGACATTTATTAGCTTATTCTGTCTAGCATACTCACTTTATTTTTAACTAACAAATAAGTAAATGGTTATAAATATATGGTCTTTATAAAATGCTTAAAATTAATTAAGTACATCTGCTTCCTTTCATATTTCTCTAATACTGTCTATGTATTTGTGTCTCTGTGTGTTTACAAGAATCTGGAATTTTATTAGTTTTGTAGCCTGTTTTTCAGCATTATAGGATAATTAATTTCTTATATGTACTTATACATTCAAAAACATGTTTTTTAGTACCTTTACATAGATGTATGGATTAATATAATCAATCTTTTATTGATTCGTATACTTCAATGTTTCTATAACATTGAGGTAACCAAAAGTTTACATAAATTTTAATGTATATCTGTGGATTATTTTCTTAAAAGCTTAGATTTGGAATGTCTCATTTAAAAGGCATAGGTTTAAGACTTTTGATATATTATCAAATTGTACTCCAGTAACTTGTCCATTACACTTCACCAATAACACATTAAGGTGCATCTTACTATGTTCTTGCCAAATGTAAGCAAGAAAATGTTTTCTAACATTTTCAAAAGTAATTACCCCAAAAAGAAAAATGGTATTACATTTTAATTTGTATTTGAATATAGAAAAGTTAAACATTCTTATATGTTTATCAGACTCTATTTCTTTCTATTCAATCTGTGAAGATTTTCCTTTTGGGTATTGGCATTTAATGTTTTTAATATTTTATACAAGAGTATTTATTAAATGTTCATCTTTAATACATGTTCCAAAAATCTGTCCATTATTTGTCCTTAGTAACATACAGGTTGTAAATTATTATGTATACATTTTTTGTTCAGTTCCATCTTTTGTTTTTATGCTTAGAAATGTCTTCTTAGCCTATATATATGTTCACCTATATTTTCTTCAAGTTTTCTTATCTTTTATTAGATACACACAATATTAATCCATCACTAATTTGATACCTGGTTATTTATGTAGACATAAAGTAAAACTTCTGATTTTTAAATGTTTTCATTATAATTTGCTAACAATGTCAATTTTCTTATTAGTTCTGAGAGCTATTCAGTTTCTCTAGTTTTCCAGGTAATAATTTATTTACAATTCAATATGACTTAATTCTTTATTTTTAAATAGCTCAGACTTCTGTTTTTTGTTGTTTCATTGAGAATTTTCAGGACAATGTTAGGTAGGAAAAAAACACTGCTAATGGCATGAATTCTTATCTTGTTCATCTGTGCATCCATTAGAACATTTAGAATGTGATCTGATATAAAATTTAATATTCACTGGAGGAGTGACTTACCTACGGTTTCATGGTCAACCAAATAAATATCTTTAACTTCCACAAATTTGGAATATAGAACATTATTGTCTCCATTTAAGTAAGGATGGGCAAATTGAGGTTGATAAGGGTTACATAACATACACAAAGCCAGAGGGCTAGTTTAAGAAAACGCTTTCCTTGATTCCAAAATCTTTTTCTAGCATGTGAACAGTGGCCAAGAAGGTGCTGGAAGGAAGCTTGCTCTGGCATCAGACTTGGAATATTAAGACAGAAAAGGCCCCAACAGACAGACAGTTACCCTAGCAGTGAGGTTCGGCTGGGCCTCCGCTGTAGTCAGGGTCAGCCCTGTGGCGAGGCGGCCCTCACACTCCAACCTTCAAGATTTCCAGGCTCTTCCGGGCCCGAGGTGACAGCTCGTCTGACGGCTCCAGCGTTCTGGGAACCCAGCTCTGTACCCGCAAACCGCGGTTTCAAGGCTGACCGGCCACGCAGCTCGGGTCGCCTCCTCTCTGCCCCCTGCAGGCCGGCTCGGGGTACTGCTCAGGGGCCCGTCGGGGTCTGGAGCGCGGAGGGTGCCCCAGGCCGCCGTCCCACCGGCTGCCGGCCACCAGCCTGGCCGCGGAGACGCAGGGCCATGGCGCGGGTGCTGATCGTGGGCGTCGGGCTCACAGGAAGCCTGGGTGCTGCGCTGCTGAGGAAGGAGACGTACGGCCCTCTGCACCTCTCTGTGTGGGGCAAGGCTGAGGACTCAGGTGGGTCTCTAACCAACGAAATGGGGAAAAAAGCCAGCTTGGCCCCCGGCTCCTGAGGTGGCGAGGGTCCCACTCGGCTAAGTCTGTGAATAGCGGGCCTGGCAGCGGCATGCGCAGTACGCGCCGCGTCACGTGGCCGGGGGCTTTCGTCGCCGGGCGGAGGCCTGATCCCTAGCCGGTTGGGGGCCGATCCGGCCGGGCTGAGGCCCCGCGGCGGGAGCATCGCGCACACTTCGGAGGAGGGCTGGGAGGACTTCTGGTCAGTCTGCAAAGCTTGGGCCTATCGCCAATAAGTGATTTTTCATCTTGGCCCGTCTGTGCTTGTGCAGCTTTCTCCAGATTATGAGAATCCCGAAGACCCCACTGACCAAGGACTTACAAAGATCTAGTTTACAGTTATGTTATTCTCATGAAACCTGACAGCAAGAGTGATAGCCTGAATGAATAAATCAGAAAGGGATTCACTCTGACATTTCACTCATTATTTTGTTTTATCGTATCCATTCATTTTAATTAAATTGGTAAATGTATGCTGCAGGCACAGTGCTGAACACTGCTGCATTATTTATGTGTCCTTTTTAAAAAATAGGAGACCAGATTGTCTCTATTAACTACTTCCTGACTAGATGACAAAGCCTTCAACTGAAAAACAAAAAACAAAAAACCCAAACGTCTTCTAAAACAGCTGTAAAATAATCCATTTGGGGTAGCCTGAGGTGAATAGCTTAAATTGCAAAAGATGGATTCTAATGCACTTAAGACAGTTTCCTGTGGATTAACCCAAGGGGGAAGAATGACTCCTGCCAGCAACCCTCAGAATCCACAGAGCACCATCGACTTGGGTGCATAGTATGTCACCTGTACTCCTCATTATGCCAAAAAACACCAAAGGTGAGTTAGTTAAAAGGGTTGGAATCAGACTTACTAATTGTATGATGTAAAAATATTTAAATTACCCATTTTTACCAGGGTTAAAGTTTTGTCTCTGGTAATAGTTTTTATAATAGTAGCTA